TTAAAATTTCGTTTGTACCCAATATTTTTCTATCGCGATCAGCCATCGTGAATCTCTAAAGCGTTAACTTTTATAGTAGCTGCCTTCTGAAGTACAATCGATATTTTAAAATCTAAATTCACGCTAAATATAACTGATTAGTGTGATAATTGGGATTTAAATTCATCAAATTTCCTCGAAATGTAATTATCTGCGGAAAATTTATATTTTTTGAGAATTCAGTAAAAAATAGAGCCTTGGTAGAAAATTGTTTCGTCAAATATTATAGACAGTACTCTGTTTTGGATATTTTGTATATTTTCTCAAATTATGTGCAACTTCGCGCTTAAAACCTTTTTTTATAAAATTTTTCAGTCTAATAATTGCTGTTCAATTTCTCTGAAAAGAATTCTGATTTATTAGTGAAAAGAGAATTGTACAAGCAACTATGGATTTCGAAGAATAATATTTGTAACGCAATCGCTTTTAATTCTTATATATAAATCTTTTAGTTTATAATCAGTATGGCCTTCAATTTATAATTTTGACAAATGTAGATTTTCGTGAAATGTAATTTTAAACATTTTTTCCTCCATAATATTCCGGAAACTTGGCTAGTCATTTTAAAACACAAATCTTTCCTGCTTGTAAAGTATTGTTTTACTGCTTTCGCGTCATTAATTTGAAAAATGTACTTATTTCTGGCAATTCGTGTTGTATAATTTACTAATTTGTTTGTCGATCATTTCAATACACTTTTTCCCATTTAACTCTCCTGTGATAAATTTTATTTCCATCTTACCTTGGTGATCGACGCCTCTCCATGAATCGACGACTCGAAAGTGTTGTTCCTTTAGCAAATCATGATAGTAATGAAAGCTATCAGGCCTTGTTCCACCGAGAAATATGACTATTCGCCATTTCTTATTCGTACACAACATGTCTGTCCGCAAATTGCAAACGGAGCACAGCTTATGCTCTTATTTTAATCAAGGTTTTCGTTACAATTCTCGTCGTTTCAGATGTTCACAATTTTTTTAAGATACATCGAACATTCTTAATATTTGTCGTAACTTCAGCTTCTTTGCATTTTGTCTCGCAGTCGAGCTTGAATTCGACTCTACACGTGTTATAGCACGTTCATTCCGAGCTGTTAGACACGACGTTCGCTATTTGTTCTCTTTCCATAATTATCGGCATGTTTTACTAAATTCATTGTCACTTTAGCAGCTCTGCTAACTGTTTTGATCATTTTTATCACGGGATGATGTGCATTTCAGCTAAATTTAACTATCTTTCGCGACCCAATCTTCCAGATTTATTATCTTAACACGCACTTAACTGGCTGTATTTCACACGAATGTTACGCTTCCGATTGCTTTCGTACGACTGAGGAGCATAAATATTCGATATTTGTTCGATATTTGCTCGCCTCTTCACTGCGGGATATTTACATTTTCGTATTTCTGAGAAATTACGTGCCTCGGCAATAACAATCGACATAATACACGTGGCTAATCCATGCCCAAGGATACTGATATTGATAATCTGCGCATTATTTACGATACATAATATAATAAAATAGAAATGTGCTATATGTGTGCAATACTGTATTCTAATAGTACTCTAATAAAATTTATTAACTAAATTACCAATAAAATACCAATACCATTATTAACACTAAAACTAATAGTAAATTATTAATAAAGTTTATTACTGAATTACTAAATTCAAGGTGTTAAACAGGACGTTAAAGATCCAAGATAATCCTGATTCAATTGATACATTACAAAATCTATACATTTGATATAGAAAATATCTACCCAAACTTTTTGATCAATCACGTGTGTAACAAAGAGTTTCTCGTTTAGTAACATTTAACTTATGTTGAAAATGTACAGTTGTTGGACGCAATGGTCGTTCAACGATAACTTATATACAATGTAACTTGACTCCTTGTTTGAACGATCATTACTATCCAGCATCTGTATAATTCATTCGGATCTCTTCAATTCCGACAAAAGGAATACGCAGCAATTTAGCAACTCGAAGAGTGTCGATCCCGCGAGACCGATAGAAATTCACTCCCCTGGATCTCGCGTCGATCGCTTCGTGAAACGCCGAGGTTTTCCACCTCCTTGCTTTCAACGCTTGTCGACGGTCACTGATCGAGTTAAAGATGCCTCATTGCATAGCAAATCGACGAAAGAATGATATTATTGTTGCTTTCTCCTGTGCCGGCTCTATCCAGGTTATATTCACCATGCAAGCCTAGAACGAGCCTTCGATATTATTAACGGCAAGTGGAACACTTTCTTTTGGATTTCGAGTCGAATACGATCGTGCGTGAAATAGAGACGTGCACAACAGAGCGGCTCGAAGCGAACGAAACAGCTCGGACAAAAGATGCTTTCCCTAGTCGTTTCTTTTTTTTTTTTAATAATAAAAACCCGTAAGGAGATCAGAGGAAACGTGAATAAATAAAAAAGAGTAAAGAAAGAAACAGGCTCGGGTGTCATTCGATGAATTGTAAACGGGGTGAAACGCTTACGTTCGACGCAACGTTATCTGATTCGTGAGAGAGGACTTGAAAGAGATGAAAGGAATGAAAAGGTTTTTGAACTCTGTGCGAGGATCTTTTGTATTCTAGTATGCTCTGGATGATCCCGGATCGAAAATCTCGGGGTGATGGTTCCTTCTTATGGCGTGCAGTGGCTCACGAAATTGTTCGAAGTCTTAACATATGAACGTCTAATTATGCGTGTTACATTTGGAATTTCATTAATGTCGTAATGGGAATACGATTAACGTTGACAGGATTATCACGATGATATTGGGAAAATTTGAAACCGATCTGAAAATTTATAGAAGCATTGTGATTTATGAAATATTTATTGTGAACATTTAGTGTGCATTCAACAGAAATGATCGTTTCAAACGTACAATAAATGCATATACTTATTAATATGATAGTTACTCTGACATCTACGAATTGTATTAATTATTTGATGCTAATCTAAACAATTTTTCATAGTTGCCAATTAATTCAAACATTTATAGAAATTTTTTACGAATTTTATTACATGAAATTTGATAAATATTGTACAGATAATTTCATAAGTAATAATTGTAAGTAGTTGTAATAAATAGAATTATAATATATCGAAGAAATGTATGTGAAGATATATATGTATATTTTAAAGATAAATGCATTCTTCATTTGTTATATAGGTACTCCTCATTCAACATGAAACTTTTACATTTCTGGTAATTTTAAGCACTCAAAGGCTTAACGAAACTCCATGATGACATTGATCAAGTTTAAAACAATTCTGAAAATATACATAGAAATTGCAAGATATTTA